CAAAGATACTTAGAAGTATCATTCTGGAAGCTCTTTTTTGCATCTACTCTGGAAGGGCTGCAAGAGCCCTTTGTATTTCCTGTCAGAATGTACGTTAGTTTACAAGTTTGGTTATTTCAGTGTATATTCTGTTCTAGGGTTATTGAATTTTAATGTTGATTATTTCTGATGGAGAAAGTATTATTCATCGTATTTCTTGCTTGCCACATTGTCAGACCACTCTGTTGAAATGATACCTAGACTTATTAGTAATATTTTCCTTCAGCTGAGCAACATATGTAATTCTTTTCATACTGTGCTCTGCTTTTAGTGCTTGTGTATGGGACACAGTAAATGTTTTACCATATAAGGGGTAAGGATGTGGCAGCACACTGAAATCACAGCTGTTCAGTAATATGTGTGTGTACAAACATAGCGAAAACTTTCTTATTCTAAGTGAGGGACTACTCCACATTTGACTTCTCCGTATGTGGTGCTTCCGAACTGTCACATGAAAGAACATTTACTCAGAAAACTGTTCTGATTATGTGGTTCGGGGCACTTGTGAAATTTAACTGCATGACAGTTAGCAGTTAATTACATTTGTAACACTACTTCTTTATGAAACTAGTTGTAATTGTCACAGGTATCATTGACCATACATATTCTGGGCAATTAGCACATCTTCATTTGAGAGGGAAGTTGATAGGTGAAAACCTTGCAGCATGGGGTCATAGGGGACAGATTGGCATTGAATGAAGGAATGCTGATGTGGAGTTCCCTAAAACAGCACTGTTGAGAAGAAAGGTGCACATGGTGAATCCCATAACCTGAGAAGGTAGAATGTGAGTTTGAAAGCTGTATTTGTATCCAGTTAGTTTTGCCTGTCATCCAGGTTTCCTTTTTGGTTCAGCCTTATGCTAGGAATCTTCCTGTCCCCAAATTAGCTCAGTGTCATCACCACATTCCCTTGTGAGGAGCAGGCTTGCTCATCCAAGCTGTGTTTCTAATGATGAAAAAGAATATTGCTCTTTATTTAACCATGCTTTCAGAAGATTGTTCTGGTAGCACCAGTGGCAATCATAAAAGACTACAGTATAAAATAGTTTCAGTGTTGGCAGTTGACAGAAAAAAAATGACTTGGTTCCATCCTAGGAGATATTTTCAAATGAGAAATATATGTATTTATTTAAGTATCTAATGGTATTTCTATCTAGTCTTCTCAAGGTTATTATCTTTATGGGAAAGGAAGTGATCAAATGGCATTTTGCCCTGCAGAATGACTGTAAATGTCATGCTGGACTGGACAGCATCTTCTTGGTTATTGAGTCTAGTTGCCTGCTCTAGAAAATAACCGCATGATATAACTGTAGAAAAAACAGTCATGTTTAATGAGTGCATGTCACTGACTTTTCTTCTTGTCTGTAGTAGTCTACAGAACCAAATGGGATGGGATAAAATGAATAGAAAATTATATTAGTAAAATGAACAGTTCTCAGTGATAGAGAAAATGAGCAAATGCAGCTCTTCATAGCTGCTGCTGAATGTATCTGTATATTTTCCTAAAATATAAATTGAAACATCTGTGCCTTTTTTCAAGTGGTGGCAAATATCACCCTTCTGACCAAGATATTTAATGTGTTGTCTCATGGAAGCTGAGAAATGTCTACCTTGTGAGAAGCAGAATTGTGTCTTCTTGTCGCTCTAACTGCCCATACATTTTTAAATAGTAAAACCAGCCTACTTTGTGCTTGGTAGTACTTCTAAGCCTTCATTTACTAAACAAGACACTTACAAAGGAGCATAAGATCTTGCGAACATAGATTCTAAGGAGAACACTTAAAAATTGCTAAGTGTAGTTGCCTGCAGTGGCAGGCAACTTAATTATAAAATACTGCTAATAAACTCATTAAATTCCATCTTAAAAATAGTTATATTATTTTCCCTGTTGTTCCTGTTGGATAGATGTTCTGAATATTATTCCCTGATGTGATTCCATTTCCCATTTTAAATGACTTCTGTAGTCAGTTTATTTTTCTTTTGAATACATGCTTTCCATCTGATAAAAAATGTGGCAGTCTTTTGAATCTCAGAAATGTTTAGCTTTAAGCTTTCTCAAATAAAAATTAAATACTAGGGGAAATTCTTATAGATAAAGTCTGTTGATAGTGACAGATTCTGCAGTACTGATTCTCAAAATTTTGTCCGTATTAATGATAAACAGTCCAATTTTGAGATGTGTATGCAAGCCTGAAAATACAGTCATTTGTGTTCTTCCTGCTTTCCAACATTTTCTTTCCGCATAATAATTTTTGTCCCAAGAGATGCTCCATTTTTTTTAACATATTGTCTAAACCTAGAAACTAGCTGTGCATAAAAAATGCAATTCTCTTAGGATTAGTGACATACCAACAATGGACTTTATATAGCCTGTCTGGGGCATATAAAACACACTGTTTTTCAAGGAGAGAAAAATGCTGTATATGAAACAAATAAAAAAGATATTTTATTGTACATCTATATATTGAATATATCTCTAATTCCTGTTGTACAAGATGAATACATGAACTAGAAGCCCTCTGTCAGTGGCCATGTCCACAATTTAAAGCACATAAGAAATAGGCTACCTGCATAGTTTTTGTTCTATTCTGATTTTAACTTTGATACTAAATTTGGAAGATACGTTGAGTGAATAGCAGTTTTCTATAATGTGTTTTGGTTATTCTTAACTATTCCTAAGTTCAAATAGAATTGTTTGACAACTTTTGGCTAAAACCAGTTTCTTTGAAACATAGCTCCGGGTCTTTTTGAGCATGTTTTTGTGTCGTTTTTGACCCGTAGCTTCAGAGTTAGTTTGCTGAACTATGATGTGGGAGCTCTGAGTTTCATCTGCTGCCTGAAATTTTTTGTGCCTACACTGCCTGTTTGTCAGGAAATCAAATACCTAGCCATTGGTTATTCAAGACTGGAGAGTGCCCTGCTCACCTTTTGATGCTGTTCTATTTTTTTGTTAGGTTATATATGATCATTAGTGTCTGACTGAAACCATAGTAGTAAGGTATTGATTTTGTATTACTGACTCTCTGCCTGGTTTTATAATTGGGGAAGTATTCTATAAAAATTAGAACAATTTAAGCAAGAAAGGCTGGTAGATGAGGTGAGTCTTTTATATCTTTGCTTTCCTTCCTTTCAGTTTCATTCTCTTTCTTCTTTCCAGTTTCTTTTCATTATATTCCCCATCCTCTTACCATTTGTATTTTCTTGTTCATTTTGTCCCCAGATTCCCTCCTTTCATTATACTACTCTTCATTTTCTGACATCCCATTAATCTTCCAGTCTTTATGGCTCACTTTCCCACCTCCACAAAAACACCCACAGGATGCTTAGAAATTTTACAGCATACCCATTTGTCAAAAAAAATAAACCTACAAGTCCCAGACTTATAATACTATGATGGTAATGTTCATTAATTCCCACACTGTTTGGAAAAAGAAACTGGTACAGTTAGTATATGGTCTGTAAACCATAATATGCAAACCTAACATTCCTTTGCTTTCCACTAAACCTGGAAACACCTCTTTGGGTTTGGGAAATGAGATGAGATCTGGCTTTTTTTGTTTCAGTTATGGTTCTGATCTTTGCAGAAACCCTATAAAGTGTGACATGAATGTGTAGTTATAGTGCTGTGACCTTTGAAACAGGTTTGAGGAGAATGCGCTGTTCGTCAGTGGATCAGAAATCCTATTGCAGTAGGTGAATGTACCAGTAAGTGAATCATCAGCAGCTGTATTGTAGCTTTACTGCTGTGGTCTCAGTGCAGGTTCCCCACACTTGAAAGGTGGATGAGCATACCCTTTTGCTTTAACTCTGGAGTGTCAGGCTGAAAAAACCTGTGACTTGGGGAAGATGGAGCAGAGTTGCATTGGTCTTGCAGCAGACCTTCCAATAACTACTGCTGTAGGCACCGGCAGGAAGAGTGCAGTGGTGTAAGGTCTCACTGCCAGAGGAGAGTCAAAGCAGGGTATCTAGCGGGATGTGCCTGCGGTCTCAGATGCTTCTGTCCAGTCTAGGTGCCAGGATTTCTGCCAGACCATATTCTTTACTGCTGGCAGAAGTCACTAAGAAAAATGACAAAAGACTGCATCTCTAATGTGTGTATGATCAACTGATCACCCCCTCCACTAATTGCATGTGAATGCAAAATAAAAAAGCAGTATTCAGTGTACCGATGACAGTGCTTAGTTTCCAAAGGCAATAATTTGAGGCTTTTCTCTTGCTAAATAACACCCATGCCAGTGTTTAGTGTTGCTCTGTGGAATTATCATCAGATTTATTCTTAATCAAAGGTCTCTTGAACAATGAACAATGGGACAGTTTTCACTCTCCTATATTTCAGAAAAGCTGTGAACCATGCAGAGATACTTGAGGGTGTTTTGGGTTTGGTTTTGTTGGTTGTAAGCATTAGAAATAGAAATGTAGAAATACAAGCTTAAATTCTGCAGTAGTCAGTGGTAGGGGCATGGCCTGCTTGTCTCTGCTTGTACTTGGTTGGGTTTTTTTTAAGCTTGTATCACATTTAATTAACTGTTTGGCACGTAAATCACAGTACTGTAACAGACCGCATGTGCATGTTTAAACAATATTGCTAACTATACCATAGCTTAATATAGCTGTACTGTAACTAACCTTGGAATTATTGGATCAATCACTGGTATCTCACCCCAGGTTAGATACTGCCAGCGGTGCTTCCAGTTCTTCCTTTTTTTCCATTCTCATTATTCAGAGGATAGTACCAAAGGAAGCTAAGCAAAGCATTGCAAAGCAATCAAAGGAAATCAGTCCTCTCCTTTATCTTCTGTTCTCTGTTGTACTGTAAGGATGCCAGTTATTTAATGTTAAATGAATTAGCAGTCTGAACTTAAAGATGAGCTTGCCCAGTAAAATGATGCCTCATCATGGATAAAAAAACCCTATAGTACAGTTAAAGATAATAATTCAGTTTGAAAATCTTCTTTCTCTAGAATCCTACTCAAGTGGGAACTGCTCTTCAGGTTTTTCATAACCTTGGGACTTTGAAAGATACCATTGCTAATGTGGTGGATGGATACTGCACAGTACTGGAGGAGAACATTAAAAATGCTTTGGATATCAAAGTATTGACCCAACCATCTCAAACTGTTACAAGAGGTATGATACTTGTTTTACAGAGAATGATAACTGGTTTTTTTTTGTGACAGAAGTATAGTATATTGTCAAATGGAAGAAACTCACATATCCAAGCCTGTTATAGGAACATTTCCCTGCTTGGTTTCACCAGTAGAGGATGGAAGTAGTCATGTCTCTGAAATCATCTAATACAAAGCCAAAGTCTGCCTTTTGTTATTGGGCTTAAACGTTTTCCCTTTTCCCCAAGCCCCTCCTTTTTTTCCTGACTTGACCAGAAAATTGTCCTCATTAGTTTACAGCTTTGCAGCATTTTCTTAGCAGTTTGTCATGGAAAGATCAATCCAAATTCTGCTTGCTTTGTGTTGGTGGGAGGATCACAGGTAGACATTATTTGCAAGCAATGGAATAAGCCTGTAACTACATTGTGGTGCTTTTATCAGATGGAAGTAATTTCAAAGTAGTATGTTCAATACAAAGAAATGTTGTAATAATAAACTTAATTTCTCTTTTTGCAGCAAGTTGGGGGTCCAAAGCCATAATCACTAGCATAAAGAAAGAAATACAGCCCCTCTCAAAGAAAGTGATGATTTAGAAGCTGCATCTCCTTCAGCTAGATTATCACTTGTTATAGCAGTTTGCCATGTGTTTCAGTTCTGAGCTGGTAATACATGTATTTTTCACACCTACTGTCTCTGCCATTTCACTTTCTTACTACATTGGGCAACAGTGCTTACTAATGTTACCTTGATGTCTATGTGGAGGTCCGAATTTGTAACGCAGGTAGCAGTGACAAACATTGAATTATCCCCACTGAACTGCAGAGTTTATTTGACTTCTTCCTTAGTTGAATTCTCAGTCAGACAGTTGAAGCCATTCACAAAGCTCTGTTTTGAAGCTATTTTCTTAGAAACATAAAATAGTTTGGGTTGAAAGGGACATCAAAGATCCAGGCAAGGACACCTTCCACAGGACAAGGTTACTCAAAGTCCTGTCCCACGTGCCCTTGAACACACCACCCTCACAGTAAAGAATTTTAATTAAAAAACCCCAACCTTATGTCAGAGTGCACAGATCTGTATTTCTAATAAGCAAATTTTCATATTGGAAAGCTAAAATGTGCTGCTGTGTTTTTAAAAACCATTTAGGTGGCCCTGGTAGAGCTGCTATGCCAACACCTGGGAACACAGCAGCTTTTCGAGCAGCCCTCTGGACAAACATGGAGAAACTCATGGATCAGATCTGTGCTGCTTGCGGACAGGTACTCAGCAGCTTGTTTCTGTTTTTATAGACATGCGGTTTTGCATATGACATATTAGATGTCACTTTTCCTCTCAATAAATTCTTTCTTACAGGTGCAGCATTTGCAGAAAGTATTGACAAAGAAAAGAGATCCTGTGTCACATGTCTGCTTCATAGAGGAAATAGTTAAGGTAAAGTTTTAATGTAGCTGGATATGTTTTAGTAGTTCTGTTAAGGAAAATGAGAAGAGAGAATGCTTTTGTTTACAGTTTTACAGTTCCATAAAAATTATGTTATTAAACTAATGAGAAAGTGTTGCAAGTCAAACTAATATCTAAAGCTATGTTTATGGTCTGTGGGTTACATCTGTAGGGTGTAAACACGTTCTTTTTATAATAATTTCTTTTGTTAAAGGGAACTGATAAGACACCACTGTCAGTTTTTATTACTGATCATTAATGTCATTCCATAAAATACCATGTGATGTGAGTAATTAATTAATTCTGTTAGTTTGCATAGGAGAACGTGTCTTCATCTACACTTTCAGCCATTTGTTTCTCTACTTCTTGGCAATTTCTTCCTTGAAAAATAATAGTGGCTGTTCTTTTGAATACCTATTCTTTTCCATTCAGCTGCATTGTTTTCTGTTCATATTTGGAATAAATTGATTAATGGTTTCACTCAATGTTAGGAACAGAATTACTGGAGCTATCACATCTACCTTAGTAGATGAAAAACAGAAGATGTGTTTATGCAGACGTCTCCTTTTCAAAGTATATGGCTGGATTTTTAATTTACATCAATTTAATTTTTGAAATATATTGTAGAAACTCTTCATATGCAAAGGTGGTCTTCTGTCGTGGTTTAAACCCAGCCAGCCAGCTCGTTCACTCACTTTTCCTCCCTTTTTCTTTCCTTCGCACCCTTCCCCCACCCCCACCCCCACCCTTCCCTGCTCCTGGAGGGATGGGGAGGAGAATCGAAAGAATGCAACTCCCATGGGTTGAGACAAGAACATTCCAGCAGCCAATATACAACACAAATCACCAATGCTAGCACCAACGACAGCAATAAGAGAAAATAACAAGGGAAGAGAATATGATACCACCCGCCAAAAAACGAGTCCAACCTAGAAGACCCCATGTCCTTCTGGGTAACTCCCAGTTACCCCCCTGGGAATGACGTGCTGTGGTATGGAATACCTCTTTGGCTAGCTTGGGTCAGGCGCCCCGTCTCTGCTTCCTCCCGGCTTCCCCTCCTCCCTGGCAGAGCATGAGCCTTACAAAGTCCTTGGCCAGGGTAAACATCACTTAGCAACAACCGAAAATATCGGTGTTATCAGCACTGTTCTCAGGCTGGAAGTCAAAACACAGCATTGTACCAGCTACCAAGAAGGAAAAAAATTGACTGCTACTGCTAAACCCAGAACATCTTCTTAACACTGAAAGAAAATAATGAAGGTTAAATACAGCATTTGAGTTTGTCTGTTAAACCGTTCTCTAAAAGATGTTGCACAGAACATCACTTTTTTTGTGCTCACCACCCGCCAACCAATACCCAGCCCAACCTGCGCAGTGATCTAGCCCTTCCGGGTAACTGCCTCCAGTTTATATAGTGGGCATGACGTGCTGTGGTATGGAATACCTCTTGGGCTAGTTTGGGTCAGGTGTCCTGTCTCTGCTTCCTCTTGGCTTCCCCTCCTCCCTGGCAGAGCATGAGACTCAGAAAGTCCTTGGTCAGAGTAAACATTACTGAGCAACAACTAAAAACATCAGTATTATCAGTGCTGTTCCCATGCTGAAAATCAAAACCACAGCACTGCACCAGCTAGTAAGAAGGAGAAAAATAACGGCTACTGCTGAACCCAGACCAGTATCCACCCCTTACCATTCACGTCATGCTCAGATCCCACATTTTCAATATACCATCACTCTTGTCTCACATATATATATATATATATATATATATATATATATATATACACACATACACACACACACACAAAGAAGTCTATTCGGTCCATGATGTCGGGCTTCATCTCTTGTAACTGTCTTTCAGAGCAGGAGAGGCTATGTGCAGTGTTGGATTGTTGCCTGCTGATGATACCGCAGAACTTGTCTGGTTTCATCAAAGTTCGTTCTTTGTTGGGATGATGGTCAGAGGGAAGTCAGGGCCAGTCACTGGTGACCTGAAGACGTCCAGTTGGTGGGCTATAAAAGTGCTATATAGCAAGCAACAGCATACAGTTGAGTTCATTGGCTGTTTTCCCCTAAAATCAAATCCTGTTAAGGTATTCATGGGACTTCCCCGTCTTCCCGCATTACCCACCAGGTACATCCGGGTCCCTGAGTAAAAGCAATCCCATGAGTGGGTTTGCCTTTACCTGAAGCAGGAATAACCCAGACTGTCTTCCCCAGCAAATTCTTTATGTGCACCACAGGAACTTTATCCCCTTCTACAGTATGTAAAAGTTCTGACTGGGCTGGGCCAGATCCTCTGGTCTTGACCAACCAGGTGGCTTTTGGTAAATGTGTATCCCAATGTTTGAAAGTCCCACTACCCATTCCTCTCAGTATAGTTTTTAACAGCCCATTGTACCGTTCGATATTTCCAGAGGCTGGTGCATGGTAGGGGATGTGATATACCCACTCAATGCCATGCTCTTTGGCCCAAGTGTCTATAAGGCTGTTCTGGAAATGAGTCCCATTGTCTGACTCAGTTCTCTCTGGGGTGCCGTGTTGCCACAAAATCTGTTTCTCAAGGCCCAGGATAGTGTTCTGGGCAGTGGCATGGGGCACAGCATATGTTTCCAGCTATCCGGTGGTTAATTCCACCATGGCAAGCACATAGTGCTTGCCTTGGCGGGTTAGTGGGAGTGTGATATAGTCAGTCTGCCAGGCCTCCCCGTATTTACGCTTCAGCCATCATCCTCCATACCAAAGAGGCTTTAACCGTTTGGCTTGTTTAATTGCAGCACGTGTTTCACACTCATGAATAACCTGGGCAATAGTGTCCATTGTTAAATCCACCCCTTGATCATGAGCCCATCTATATGTTGCATCTCTGCCCTGATGGCCTGAAGTGTCACTTGTTAGTTTTTCTGGTGTTCCTCAGTGGCCCGACTCTTGGGTACGTGAACATGTACACGGCGTGCCTTCACCACCAGGTTCTGCACCCGGGCAGCGGTATCTTGCCACAGTGCAGCAGCCCAGATGGGTTTACCTCTGCGTTGTCAATTGCTCTGCTTCCATTGCTGCAGGTCGTTGCCCACAGGGCATTTGCCACCATCCATGAGTCAGTATAGAGATGAAGTACCAGCCACTTTTCTCATTCAGCAATGTCCAGGGCCAGCTGGATGGCTTTCACCTCGGCAAACTGACTCGATTCACCCCTCCTTCAGCAGTTTCTGCAACTTGTTGTCAGGGACTCCATACAGCTGCCTTCCATCTCCGATGCTTTCCCACAACACGGCAAGAGCCATCAGTAAACAAGGCATACTGCTTTTCACTTTCTGACAGTTTATTATATGGTGGGGCCTCTTCAGCACGCACCACCTCCTCCTCTGGTGACATTCCGAAATCTTTGCCCTCTGGCCAGTCCATGATGACTTCTAGAATGCCTGGATGACTGGAATTTCCTATTTGAGCTCATTGTGTAATTAGTGCAGCCCACTTACTCCAGGTAGCATCGGTTGTATGGTGTGTAGAGGAGACCCTGCCTTTGAACATCCAGCCCAGCACAGGCAACCGGAGTGCCAGGAGGAGCTGTGCTTCAGTGCCAATCACTTCCGAAGCAGCTCGAACTCCTTCATAGGCTGCCAGTATCTCTTTCTCAGTTGGGGTATAGCTGGCCTCAGATCCTTTGTATCCCTGACTCCAAAAGCCGAGGGGTCGACCTCGAGTCTCCCCTGGAGCTTTCTGCCAGAGGCTCCAGGTAGGACCGTTCTCCCCAGCTGCAGTGTACAGCACATTTTTTACATCTGGCCCGGTCCAGACTGGTCCAAGGGCTACTGCGTGAACTATCTCGCGTTTAATTTGCTCAAAGGCTTGTTGCTGCTCAGGGCCCCATTTAAAATCATTCTTCTTCCGGGTCACATGATAGAGAGGGCTTACAATCGAACTGTAATTTGGGATGTGGATACTCCAGAACCCCACTGCGCCCAAGAAAGCTTGCGTTTCTTTCTTGTTAGTTGGTGGAGACATTGCTGTTATCTTGTTGATCACATCTGTGGGGATCTGTCTACGTCCATCTTGCCATTTTATTCCCCAAAATTGAATCTCCTGTGCAGGTCCCTTGACCTTACTCCGTTTTATGGCAAAACCGGCTTTCAGCAGGATTTGGATTATTTTCCTCCCTTTCTCAAAGACATCTTCTGCTGTATCACCCCACATAATAATGTCATCAATGTATTGCAGGTGTTCTGGAGCTTGCCCCTGTTCCAGTGCAGTCTGGATCAGTCCATGGCAAATGGTAGGGCTGTGTTTCCACCCCTGGGGCAGTCGGTTCCAAGTGAACTGGACACCTCTCCAAGTAAAAGCAAACTGTGGCCTGCACTCTGCTGCCAAAGGAATGGAGAAAAATGCATTGGCAATATCAATCGTGGCATACCACTTGGCTGCCTTTGACTCTAGTTCATACTGAAGTTCTAGCATGTCCGGTACGGCAGCACTCAATGGTGGTGTGACTTCATTCAGTCCACGATAGTCTACTGTTAGTCTCCACCCTCCATTAGACTTTCGCACTGGCCATATGGGGCTATTAAAGGGTGAGCGAGTCCTGCTGATCACCCCCTGACTCTCCAGTCTACGGATCAGCTGATGGATGGGAATCAGGGAGTCTCGGTTGGTGCGATATTACCGCCGGTGCACTGTTGTGGTCGCAATTGGCACTTGTTGTTCTTCAACTTTCAGCAACCCCACAGCAGAGGGATCTTCTGAGAGACTAGGCAAGGTGGACAGCTGCTCAATTTCCTCAGTCTCCAAAGCAGCAATACCAAAAGCCCACCGGTACCCTTTTGGGTCTTTGAAGTACCCTCTCTTGAGGTAGTCTATGCCGAGAATGCATGGAGCCTCTGGACCAGTCACAATAGGGTGCTTTTGCCATTCCCTCCCAGTCAGGCTGATTTCAGCCTCCAGCACAGTCAACTCTTGGGATCCTCCTGTTACTCCAGAAATATAGATGGGTTCCACCC